GCCGCAATCCCTTCTCCTCCATTCTCCTCTCGGGATCTTGGGCACGCACGCACATGTGTCCGACATTTTAAGCCACCGGGTCCAGGACTCGAACCGTGGTCGACTATGTGGGAGTCCAGCGACATAGCCATTACGCTAACTGCTGGTCCCCAGGCTAGGTTTTGATATGCTGGACAGCGCACTGGGAGCTGACCTGGAGGCTGGAGTTCAGCCTCGCTCAGCAGCTGAGCCACAGCCAATCTGCACCCCCAGGAACAAGAGCTCCAAGTCGGCCGTTGGGAACGACTGAGATTGGGGAGCTGTGTGATATCCGGTGTTCCTACTGCAGTAACCTAGCTCATGTCTTCTCAGTGACAGGGCTGCCGCTTCTTCTTTCCAGTGGCATCCAGCGTACACTGGGCACATGCGAGAGGCTGGCCAATGCCGCTGAAGTAAACTCGATGAGTGGCATTCCTCAGGGACACTGGTGAAATGAACCAAGCTATCCGTGGTGCTTCTAAAGCAGACTTCAAAAATGGATGGATCTCCTACTGAGAGACTAACGAGGGGGCAGGGGAACTGGAGAGAGCAGGCTGGTCTTTGTTTTTTGTTTTGTTAGGACTGGAAGCCTCTTCTGGTACTTTAGATATAAGCAGGTGCTGCAGGGACATCTAATCTAGTCAGATACACTGATTAAACATTGCAGCTGCAGAAACTCTTTTGATGGATGACCTTAAAAAAAAATTCAAGGGGCCAGCAAGTGGCATGGTGGTTAAGGCACTGGAATCCCACATGACCGACCATGGTTCAAGCCCCAGACCTGGCTTGCTTTTGCACTTTCCCTCTCTTTCACTCTCTGGTGGGCACACAAGCCCTATAGTAAATTAAAATAATAATAATAATAATAATAATTTTTTTAAAACTTCAAAATTTTGAAACCAATGAGCAGAATGATGCATCCCTTGCTATTTGGTGTTTCTAAAGTAAATGAAGTAACTCAAAAAGAAGATGCGCCTGGTTCAGTCACAGTGGCACAAGTGGGAGGGCATCGTCGCACAGTGGCTGAGGCCACATGGAAGGCCTGGGTTCGGATCCCAGCCCCACCCAAACTGGACAGGCTGTGGTAGTACGCTTCTGTGGCCCTAGGTAACAAGGAGGCCAAGGCAGGAGGATCACACTGTGGTGAGATTCTAATAAAAACACCTCCCCTCCTCCCACCCCCAGCTTTGTCTTCCTTTATCTCATAAAAAAAATAAAATAACAAGCAGCTTAGGCCAAAAGCATAACCTTCAGGCCAATCTATCCTCTGCACAGAGACCTGCATTCAATTTAATTTCATAAATCTATACTAAGGAACTACCAAGTATGCTGCTGATGGAGGAGAAATAATGTCCTGGACCCGAGCCGTGACAGGTCCCTTTGGAAGCAGGCAGGATAGAAAGCATACATGCGGCCAAACCCTTCAACCTAAACTCACACAATGCTTTGCAACTTACAGCCTGATCTTTGTACGTGCTTCACGTTCCCGAGAACTTCTGTTAGCTGTGTGTGTGTGTGTGTGTGTGTGTGTGTGTGTGTTTAACCTGTCCCTGACATCAGGACACAGGAGCTCGGCCATGTGACGGGCGCCTGCTAGGAAGTGACAGATGTCCGACTCTCTGTCACCAACGCCATGGGGCCTCGCCGAGATCGAAACATGGACAGACACAGGAGGAGACCTCTGACGTTCCTGAAGGCATCAACCTACCACTCCGGGGAATATTTTCTGGAGCCGGTCTGCTGCAGCCAGGGCCTTGGGTTTCCCTCCTCCCAGGCAGTCCTCGAACTCATAGAGCGGCTGCCTCACAGGGTTGGAGTAGGAGATCTTGGCGTTGTCCACGAACGTGATGTGTCTGACGCCCCAGCCCTGCGTGGAAACAGAGATCAGGGTGTGTTTCTTTTCTTTTTCTTTTTTTTTTCTTTTTTTTAGAGGTTTTGCTATAGGGCACATGTGCTCTTCAGAAAGACAGAGAGAGACAGAGAGACAGAAAGCGAGAAATCACCCCCCAGGGGGGAGGGCCACACCGCAATCCCTTCTCCTCCGTTCTCCTCTCAGGATCTTGGGCACGCACGCACACGCGCCCGGCGTGAGTTTTAAGCCACCAGGTCCGGGATGCGAACCGCGGTCGACTACGTGGGAGTCCAGCAACATAGCCATTACGCTAACTGCTGGTCCCCAGAGTGTGTTTCTGAAGGACATTCCACAGAGCATCTCTTTTGAAATCCCAAAGAGGGTGCTGCTTTGGGAACCTCAACATACAGGACACTTTAGAAAGAGAATTGTGCACATTTTTTACTTTTTTATAAACGGAATATGGACTTCCTTTCAAAGACAAAATCGTCACATGCTGAGTGCCTGGTTTCCCGTAGGAATGAGACTAAGAAGTGTCAGCGTGCGGCTGGCATGTGTGACAGCGGCACCGGAGAAAGAGTTAGAGGTGAATCCCAGAAGCTGAGCTCGTTGCTATTTACCAAGGTTGGCGACAGCCTGGAAAGGTCCTTGGTTCCCCTAATGAGTCATTACATATAAACAACAGCTCCTCTTGAAGCTCATTTAAAGACTGAGTGCACGCCTCAGGAAAAACAACCTCCAGGTTATTTCCCACTGTATGATAGTAGAGAATATTCTGTATGGTTTCTTTGAGAGGCCGAAGCCTTACCTACTGTGAGGCTTAGGGCACAAGTCTATAGTTTCAGAAATCGTTTTCACGACTTCGTACATTCTATCGCCTGTGGAGTTTTATAGCACCACACCATTTTAAAGATGGATGCATCTCGGGAACCAGCAGTTAGCGTAATGGCTATGTCGCTGGATTCCCACGTAGTCGACCGCAGTTCGCGTCCCGGACCCGGTGGCTTAGAACTCACGCCAGACGCATGTGCGTGCATGCCCAAAATCCCAAGAGGAGAATGGAGGAGAAGGGATTGCGGCGTGACCATCCCCCCCTGGGGGGTGATTTCTCACTTTCTGTCTCTATGTCTCTCTCTGTCTGTCTGGCGAGCACACGTGCC